GGACTTGAAACTGCTTGTTACCAGCAGGTTGTTGCTAGGTAACCAAAAAGTGAGTGAGTTGATGGCAACAACTTTGCTCAGCTGGCCAATAGAGGATGAGCCGCTAAATTCAAATTCAAAAATACTTTATTGATCCTGAAGGGAAATGAAATGTTGTTGTAACTCATATTGAATCAAATTCTTAGAGTTATTGTAAATAGTGATTGCAAAGCTTTTCCTCTGCCTACATTTCCCAGAATGCCATGCGGTTCTGGATTGGAGTTCAGTGATCATTCTATATAATGAATATTCTATCAGCCGTATTATTTATTGATACTGATTAATTTCCTTATTGATTTATTGTCCAGCCCTAGCTGCAACTAATAACTAATGTTAGTTATTGATTAATTTATTATTCCGACGATTAATCAATTCATCATATAAAATATAGCACTTTATGCAAATTTTCCACTCAAGCCTTTTTTTTTAATACAATATCAGAAATAAGAAAATAAACAGGTCATTGCCTAAAATCCAATAACATTCCATCAGTGAATGTTTGATCATTTGTAGCAAAGGATTCATCCGCACTAAAAAATCCTTCTAACCTTTTTACATGTGAAAAGCTCAGCTTTGAACATCAAATATGATGATAATATTTTTGATTAACCGATCAGTTATTTTATAGCAACATGATTAATGGAAAATTTATATTTTTTAGCAAAATTTGAACGGGATGAAACTACAACTACGCCACCAGAGTTTTGGGTTGTGCTTATTTACAGCGGTTTTTATTTATTCAATGTTAAATACAAAATTAATACACTTTTTGTACAGTTTTGGCTTAATTTCCGCTCTGAATGCGTTCCTCTTTCAGCAAAAATACTTTTTTTGAGTCTATAATCCAGTTAATGACAATTATTTTGATTAATCACGATTAATTGTTTCAGTCTAGAGCACAATGCTGGGATCAGACAGAAAAAGCTCAGAGGTTTCCGGATCTCTACCTGTGTGCCAAAGTTCTGCAGCTGCCGGGCCGCAGCCAGTCCTGCGGCGCCGGCACCGATGACGATCACCTTCTTCTGCGAGGAGAAAACACATCATGAGCCCAGATTGGATGATGGATGGATGATCAGCAGGAAGACGCAGAGATTCTCACAGAGTGGTATCTTTCAGGCAGCAGAGGCTGTTTCACTGCCAGAACGCCGGTGTTGATCAGGCCCTTCCTGGTCATGAAGTGGAGAACCCGGTCCAGCTCCTGAACGCAGCACACGCGCACCAAACCACGAACGATGATGTGCTGAGCACACTTCTCAGCCGTTAGCACTTCCTTCAGAAAAAACAGAGAGAAATACATTTTATCATTTCCTGCCTCTAATTCTGATTTTTAGAAATATGTGATCATATATGGCACAGAGTGCCATTTTATAACACAATCAAGTAACTATGTTACCTTGTGATGTCATAAAAGTATCAAATATGACTAACAGAATTTTAATTAACCCTTTAACAACATTTTTACCAGCGCTGCTCTGACCAGCAGCTCCTATAAGGAGCTCAGCAGTTCCACCAGCCGTTTGCTAACTGCTGCTGGCTAGTCTGAAGGAGCTGAGTGGGGGAGGAGCTGCGCCATGAAGGCAGAGCTAGGTCCACCCAGGCGTTTTGCATAGCTGAATGGTTGCCATGGAGATTAAAGGATTTCTCAAACATGCATGAAAGAATCAATGAAACATTGCAGGAATGTTTTTGATGAGGGAATAACATTATAACATGATGGGACGATCAAAAAGGTTGATTTTATGTGATAATGCCCCTTTAGGTGCACAGCCTCACTCTGCAGCCTGGTGCTCACCTTGCAGTTCTTGTGCCAGGAGGCCAGGATGAGGTTCCTCAGGGCCAGGTACATGGTGGGGTCCCGGGAAAACTCTGGAAACTCGTAGAGCTCGTCCAGCTCCATCATGTCGGGCCGCACACACAGAGCCTTGCCGCACTCGTTGGGCTGGTAGAAGGGCTGGAAGTACGGACAGAGGCCTGGAACTGACGGAGAGGAGAAGTGATGATGCTTTGCTCCGATCCAGAACGTCGGCCCATCTCCTGAACTTACTCTGCGGCTGCACGGCTCTGCACGGCTCCGCCCGCAGCTCGGTCATGGAGACATTGCAGGGAGAGCCGGACGGACTCATCCCCACGCAGTCAGGATAATACGCCGAGAGGAACGCGCCGGCCGGGCTTTCCTTCAGCAGCGGAGGCAGGATCAGCATGGAGTGCCACCAGCTCTCGCTCACCTCTGCAACCCTCTGGAGACAAAAACCACCCGGAAACACTCATTTGTCATTGTGCTTTGGTATTTTGGTTTTAAAACATTTCTGCATCTTACCAAGTCCTCTGGTTGGGAACACTGGTCAGGTCCTTCAATCTGCGAGCAGAAACAACGTTTCCATGGTGACCAAACGGCAAAAACTGGGGTGGACTCTGATTTTTGCAGCTCCTCTTTACCTTGACGTTGTTGACCTTCATCCCGCAGCGGTATGCTGCTGCCAGGGAGGCGGTGAGCTGGATCTCCTTGGTCAGCTGGCGCCACTTCCTGCAGTCCGGTTTGGTGCACTGAACCTGAAGGGAACGAAACGTTACTGATGAGACAAAAAAAAAAAAACGTTGTGAAGGAGGAAACGTTCAGCCGCTCACCCAGAACGGCAGCTGCTGGTCGGCCATGAAGGCCTTAAGGCTCGGCTCGCTTTTCCCGTTACTAGTCCACACCTTCCTCCAGGAAGCAAACGTCTCGTAGCCGTCCTTGTGACTGCACAGAAAGACTTATACCAGGGTTGTCCAAACTGTGGCTCTGGGGCCATTTGTGGCCCTTGAAATGTTTTGTTCGGCCCCTCAACAGAAGTCAATAATGGTAAAAATTTGTTGGCCAAATTGAAATTTAAATTCAAAAACAGAAAATTTGTATTTTTTAAAAATGTTTTGGATGTTTAATGACACATTGAAAAAACACAAAATTTTACCAAGTATTTATAGTTTTTTGTGCAGTCCTGAATTTGCTGCATCATAATATCCTTCCAGTGAGTGCTGCAGGTAGATGTACCTTCTATAGTAGTGATCAAAGCACTCGTTGCAAAAATGTTCACCACATGACAGGTGGTACCAGCGAGAAGTGTATCCATTTTTTGCACACCTAAAAGGAAAGAAAAGCCTCTGTTAGAGACAATCCGAGTGACTGACCTCTCACCTTATTTCAGCTCCACTACCTGTCTGATGCACTCGCAAAACAAACTGGGTAGATGGCCGAACATCCTGCCTTCTCACACTTCCTGTACTTCTTCTCAGCCTGCTCATCTTCCTCCTCTGTTTCCGTGGCTTTCCTTTTACTCTGGCATCCAGAGGAGAGAATAAAAGATCAGTAAATGTAAATGGCATTTAAAGCCACCATCTTTACAAAAAGATGTTTTTTTGCTAAACCTGTCACCATGGTGTGACAGTGTAATATCAATAATCTCCTCCACCTCCTCCCTGAGCTGCTATTGCCATTTGAAGAAATGCACAGAGTCAAGAGGAGGATCTCAGCGCTGCCAATCAACCTCGTGAATTAGATGCTAAATGTTCTAATGGCGGAGAAACAACTTATTATTACAGAAAAAACTGTTTATCCTCCCTCATGGGTAGAAATGCTAACTAGCTTTAGCATTCACTATGAGCCTTGTTGATGGGGAGAAGCTGCATCACAGCAGAGGCTTGAATGGATGGATGGACTACTTTTGTTTTATTTTGTTTTTCTTTTTAATAAATGGGCCTAACTTGAGTTTTGTCACCTGTGGTTGAAGTAAATTGGTAAATTTGGAAAAATATTTAAGAACGTTTAACAAATATGTAATTATGAAAACAAATATCTATTCTTTCAATAGGAGTATCTAAGCATGTAGTTTTCGAAATGAGACGGAAGTTTAGCATCGAAGCAGACATGTTTACGGCATAAACACAGCCCTCCTGCTGCAGCTCACCTGTCCAGGTGGGGGGTTGTTGCTGCGCTTCACCCGGGTTGTGCTTTGCCTCCCGGAGGAGCGCAGGGTCTGTCCGTCCCCCGAAGACTCACCGGAGCTCCGTTTCCTGGCTCTGCGAGCACCGGAGCCATTCCCCGAGTAATCTGCAGACAACAACATCAAAATGTGTCGGAGAGGAACAATGGAGCAAAGCAGCAGACAGGCCTTTACTGCGACAGATTAGCGTGTTTTAATTACAGATGCGGTTATAAACTGTTTAAAGTCGATCACCAGCTGATTGAGGTCATTAACAGCGAGCAGGCGCTGAGTTTTGGACATTTTAAGCTCTTTAAATTAACCAAACAGCAGCTTTTCACTTTAGCACGTTAGCAGTTAGCAGCTGTAACACCAACCTGCGTCAGACAGCATGGCGTCCCGCTGAACTCCTGTTAAATCGGGGCTCAACCTGCCTGTTTGTTTATAAAAAGGTTCAATAAATAAGTTAAATTATCTTTTGTTGTTGTGAAGTAAGAAAAGCGCAGCTGACATCAGAAAACAGCTTCCTGTTTAGCCCAGGAAATGGGCGGTTTGGTTCGGCTTGCTTTTGGTGTTACATTTAAAGTACCTCGTAAATCAGATATTAAATTTGAAAACAACGAAAAGCCAAACCGATTACCTGTACAATCCATTCACAATTTATTTCTAGAACATTTTCATAAGTTCTGATATTTAAGATATTTGATGTAAGAGAATATGATTCTATAGGCCTTTGTAAAATTAAATTAAAGCGATATTAAACTTTAGGTGAGCAAACAATGACTTATTAGTGCTATTTCTTAGACTCCGAAACTTTACAGAACACCGATATCCAGATAGCGGATAAAATTCTGGCTCTCCAGTTTTGATTTCGTCTTTCTTATGTTTTATTATGATGATTTTACCTGAGTTTAATCCAAGAATTTCGACCTTTCAAGCTAAATTGAACGCACCATCCCTCAGGCAGCTTTCCGTCGCTTTTTAACAAAGTAACCATAGCAACCAGCAGTGTGCGTCGCCTACTTCTTGGACTATGATTAGAACCGAAATGTTTTTACTATTTTTACCGGATATTTACTGTCAGAAACAACCAAATTTTACGTTACGGTTTTATTTCAATTAGAAAATAGTTTCCTAGCCGCCATACGCGGCGTTTTAAAGGTGAATGAAAAGAGTTTTTCAGCAAAGTTTTGGGTAACCGACTGTTTTGTAGCAATAAGCGGAAGCTGCTCCTCTGTCCCGGGATGGATTTGAGACAAACTGTGAGCCGGGGGAATACGGGAATTTCCAGGATAAATCTGAGTGCATCCACTAAGATTAAAAACGTCCAGGAGGTAAAGAGTCTTCATTTTGCATTGTCACAAAGAAAGACTCGTTTCATGGTATAGATACAGTTAAAAAAAGGAAGAAACTGTATAAATAATATCTAAAACCCTGAAGAAATTATTTTAAAAATGATCCAGTACAAGGACCATAGCAGCAATTGTGGTGTTTGAGAACACATTTTTAAAATATAAAATGCGAAAATTTCCAGTTGATTTAATATGAAATTTATTAGTATTTTGATGATGACATCTATTATTTTGTTTGTAACAAGAAAATAAAGCGTATCCTCTAAAAAGGTTGATGATTATTATCTAGTATTTTTTTTAATCAACCACATAATTCCTATTACTCAACACACTTTGGTAGTTTTAAACCAATGGGATGTTTCAGATCAAATTTTCCCTGCTGATTTTTCTACAGCCCACTCCAAAATGTCTGGACCTCGTGAAGATTCTTAATCTTCTTGAGGATCCTCTGACGGTCAGTTACATTTTTCACTTTTCTTTCAGCAAAGTTGCGCTTCTGCATCTAATCATCTGTTTTGTCCTGCAGACGAACCTGACGGAGAGGCACCTGTTTGTCCTGAGGAAGCTCCTGAAGAGGAACAAGTCCGGCTTTGTATCCTCCATCCTGGATTATCATGCTTTCCTCTTGTGTCGTGATGGAAAGTTAACATTTTATTTTTCTTTCCTGCACGTTAAATCTTCTTAAAGTATGTTCAGCATTTGAGAGAGCTTGCAGATATAGCCAAGATAATCAACATCTGTGGTGAGAAAGTGATCGAGCGTCCCAAATATGCACCGTTTCTGTGCGAAATTCTGAAAATCAGCAGGTAGGAAACTCAGAAATGTGAATTTTTATCAGTTTCTGCATCAGCAGCATCTCTGTTTTCTGCTCAGGATTCCTTTCCTGAAGGGCAAAGCGTCCGATGACCTGATCTACGCTCAGGACGCCATAAACTTCCTCTCCTGCTTGGGTACATACGCCACTGTTTCAACAGATTTACACGTTTATCTGGTTTTTAACTCATTTCCTAGTTATGTGAGAGGTAAACCGGCTGCTTCTCCACATTTAAAGTTAATAAAAAAGCTAGAAAAGAGCATTAATGCTGTAGATCCACACTGCTACACATTACTCGGTTAAAATATACTGTAGTAGCAATTTTTTAGTTTTACTAACTCAAATGTTGAAGTTGTGGCCTGAATCCTGGAGGAAGTTAAAGATTAGGGTGATGGTGAGGAGGCTTTCCAGCCTGAAAGAGTTGAGTTCAAATGATTAAAATACCAGTGGAAAAATAAAAAATAAATCAAAATTACTGAAAATTAAATATAAATACATAAAAATTTAGTCAAATATAATTTATGTATTTATAGATAAAATATATTTTATTTATAAATAACTAAATGTCTTAATTAAAGCAATCAGAAAGTAAAATAAATGGAATAAAAATTAAAAGCTTAAAACATATTTGTCAAGTTTGATTAAAAAAATAAAAATATTTTAAAAAGGCTAGAAATGAATTAAAACTATAAATATAAAAAAATATAGTTTTTATAATATGGATTGACACATAACAAATAGATGCACTGAAAAACACAAAATATCAATATTTTGGTGTAGTACAAATACTTCAGTATTCTTAAAATATGACAAAACTAACAAAGTAATTATTTAGCAAAATATGTGAGCATATTTTAAGTAAATAACTCCATAATACTTATAAAAACACAGCTACCAGTTCTATTGGCAGATTTTTTATTTTACTTTTTTGTTATGAGTAAAATAATCTGCCAATGGAATTAGAACTTTTTCACCAATGTTAAGAGATTTTTGACTTAAAATAAGCTCGTGTATGCTGTTGAAAAGTTACGTATAATTTAGTTTTGTCTCATTTTGAGTGTAATAAGATATTTACTCTAAAAACAGACTGAAACACTTGGTCAGTTGTTGAGTTTAGGGCAGTGTAAGTGCGGTGATGATGAGGAGCAGCAGCAGCTCATGCGTCTGTCTGCAGGTCGTCTGATGAAGATCCCGAACCCTGACATTCAGGAGGGCGTCGTGGAAACGGTCCAGTCGTTTTTCAGCTTGGAGGCGTCCAAGGATCAGCCTGAAGGTAAAGCCAACGTCTCGATGCAGCTGCAGGAAGGAGCTTCAAAATGAACCTGAAGGCTCTGACAGCTGAATCTGATTAACTTTGACCTCAGGTTGTTTTCACATTTTACTCCAAACATTTTTCACCAGCCGGTGTCAAGCATTTCTCAGGCAGCATTTCTCTCCAGCTAACATTTAAATAATCGATGAATCCCGATTATTCTGATTAATTGTCTCAGCCCTAATGTTTATCATTTCCCGTGTTGTTCTGCTCAGATATCCAGACCATCTCTCCTTTCTACCGGCTGCAGCTGGTGGAGCGCAGCGACCTTCCCAAGTTGCTGGTTGAGTCCATTGACGCGCTGCAGAACCAGTCGTTCATCAAGCTGCAGCTGCTGGAAACCCTGCAGCTCCTCTGCAGCTTCTCTGGTGATGAACACTGCCCTCTGCAGGCAGGGAGGAAGAAAAAGACGCAAATCTCTCCGAGTCTAATCCGCTCAGAAACGAGTTTTAATTCAGAAACCAACGTTTTCATTCAAACGGTTCAGTTTAAATTATGTGACTCACCATGATAAATTATTCCGGACGATAAATTGTCCCAGAAGTTATTGCGATAAACAATAACGTTGTTTTGAGACCATTTTAAAGGGTAATGTCATAATAATGCAAGAACTCATTCTCAGATACTAATAAGTTTTAAACTCTAATTAACATTTAACACTGGAACTGGAAGATAATTTAAAAAAACAATTAAATATTGAGCTTGTTTTACTTTACCATGCGATTAATTGATATATCGATTATTGCAACAGGCCTACTGATGAAAGGAAAAGAGTGTAAACAATATATTTAAACTATTCTGTAAGGTCCAGTATCAAATTTCTTCAGTTTATATTTAAACAAAAATCCATTGGTGCATAAAATTCTGTAACCTCATAAAATTAATCTCATTAGCCAATCCGGGCTAATGAGGTTTAGCCTGGATTTTTCTTAAATAAAAAAATATATCAAAGATTTATTCAAAATATATTACAAACAAATCAAGCTGAATCAGTTTTTTGAGCATTTTGAATTGATTCAGGACAAGAAACTGTGATTCTCCATGGCCGTCTCTTCATCAGTTTTTCTGACCGTTCTGCAGACCTGAACTGCAGGTCGATGCTGGACGCAGGAGCAGCGGGGACCGTGTGTCTGCACATGAACAGCGCCGACCCGCCGGGCCGGTTCCTGTCCTGCTGCTCGGAGATCCTCTGGATCCTGCTGGACAGCAGCGGCCGGGAGGACGCCGTGGCTCAGCTCTGCAGCCTCGACTGCGTGGTGTAGGCGTCGCATGCTCTCACACCGTGAAACAGCGTCTCTACGGCAGGCCACTTTAGCATTAAATCGCACTTCAGCGCATTTACATGAAGTCGTCCCATATTTCGTCAAAATCTACTAGTCAGAACATAAAAGCAGATATTTTGAATTACCATTCGAAACGGCCTGCCGTAGCGTGTCTTGGTCCATGCGTTCCAGGTCTCTGAAGGAAGCGTTTTCGTCCGTCCTGGCGCTCACATCCCAGGGCTTTGACCTGCAGCTCAGGAACTACCTGCTGGTGTTCACGACTCTCATCGCAGAAAATCCAAACTGTCCGCTCATCGTGAGTACGACCGGTTTAAATAAATCTCTTCCGTAGACCAGTGTCCTGCTGAAAACCTCTTTCTGATCTGCAGGAGAGCTTATTTGCCAAACAGCTGCTGGGCTACATCACACTTCCGGAATGTGAGACACTTTCTCCTCCCAGTTAGTTTTGTCTTACAAAGTCATTAAATGTGATTTTGAGAAGAATAAAAATGTCTTTTTATTTCAAGTGGAGATCTCTTCAGCGCAGAAACTCACCCACAGCAAAGAAGACCTGAAGATGAAGAAGCTGCTGCTGAATCTGCTGATTTTGTTGTCCAGAAATGTTGCTGCTGCACAGGTCAGTCACACTACGGCAGGCTGTTTTAGCATAAAATCAGCTTCACCGCATTCAGGACAGTCAGAATGTAGTTGTGTGTAGACAAAACTAATATTTAGATATCTGTAATGTTTTTACAGATGGTCAGAGGAAACAGAGTTTATGTTAAAATGGCTTGCCATACTAACTCTAACATGTTGACTTTGGGAAATTGAGTGAATTTTCTGTTTTCCATCAGCTTTTCAGAGAGGAGCTGGTCATGGTAAGCCTGCTGCGGTTCGTGGCTCCGCCTAAGAAGCAGCCGTCTTTGCCTCAGAGCGCCATCCTGAGCCAGCAGGAGGAACTGCAGCTGCAGGCGCTGGAGACGCTGGCCAGCATCGCGCCGGTCATGCTGCAAGACTACATGGGCTGCCAGGGAAACACGCACCTGCTGCTGCTGCTCGACTGGTGCTGCGGTACGCTGCGCGTTACGGCAGGAGCCCAGGACCACGATTTTTATGAATCCTCACCTGTTTGAAAATTATGATGTTTTCGTATCTGTTTTTTGGAAACATGGAGCGCAGGGACGCATGAAACCTTCCATCATCAGTTTTTACCCGGTTATGTTTAGGACGACTATTAACACTGCAGAAACACAAAATATTATCTTTTTTTATTTAGCTCTTAGTGCACTTGAAATAAAATAAAACTAACTTACAAATAACTTTTCAGCAAGTAATATGAGGTTTTTTTAGAGTCAATATTGCTAATGATGATTGATAGTGTTATATTTCATTTATAACATGAAAAATATTTTGGAACTAGAATTTTTTATTAATATTAAAGGTTTGTTTACTTAAAACAAGCTCCACATTTAGCTGAAAAGCTACTTTTAAGTTATTTTGTCTTATTTCAAATGTGCTAAGATGTTGAAACTAAACAAAACCACTTGGTAGCATTTTGTATTTTTGCATTAGCGGAATATTTTTTCAGTCATGTATTGGGCACTAAAACTGTTCCTTATAAATCTGGCCGTGGAAATGGAAGCAGATCATTTTTGCCGTCTGCAGCTTTCAGATTGAACGTTTTTGTTCTGCTCTTGGCTTCAGATGCCAGAGACAGGCGGAAGCTGCAGATGCAGCGCTGCATCAGAGTCCTGCGCGCCGTCACGTCTCTGGGGGAACAGTCCGTCAACCAGGACCTCAGCGACCAGGGAGCCATCCACCAGCTTCTAGGTGACGCCCGCTTCAACCGCAGCAAAATGGCCGCCGTGAACGGCTAGAGCAGTGAGGTGTGTCTCCCTCCCAGGGATTATAATCCAGCTGGAAGACGTTTGTGACGAGGGCGATGCGGTAACCATAGAGATGATGTCGAACATCCAGCTGATCCTGTCAGCGCTGTGTGAGACCGACCTGCACAGAAAGGCAAAAAGCTCTTCCTTCAAAAGATTACACTCTTAATACAAGCAAAACATGAAGAAAAGCTAATATATGTGCTATGCTAAACATCAACAGGAAAGAAAAGGAGCATAAAATTAAAGATGGGAATTTAATTAAAAAAAAACAAGATAGACAGATGTGCATTACAAGGTGTGAAGGTTTTTAAAGCTGAGTTAAAACCCTTTCATTTGGTGCCTTACTGTTCTACCTATTACTGCTATTTTATCTGTTTTTAAACTGTTTTACTTCAGTTTTTTGTCTTCTTGTCCAGCACTTTGCTTAAAAGAGCTTCATAAATAAAGTTATTATAATTATCAAGGTGTGGCGTAAACCTATGGAATAACCTAAGGAAGGAAATTAAAGCCAGTAGATTACATTTATTTAAAAGAAACTTAAAATCCAACATAAATAAAACATAAGCAGTTCAATTGTATACATTTCAATGTAAAGTCCAATTTTGTGTACTATGCATATCTAATTTTAAGAGGGAATATTCCCTTGGAACTAAACAAACAAAAACAATGAAAGGAAATGAAAGGTAAAATCTATTGTAAAAATAAAATCTGAAAAAATAGCCAACTCCATAACTGTAGGTCCAACACGTCGTAATTCACAGTCAACACAAGCAGCTGCTGTCTGATGGCTTTAGCTCGAATAGCAGAGAGTTAATAAGTTTAAACGTGGATGTTTTGCTGTCTTCCAGGAGCTGTTTGGGTCAGAGGGAGTGGAAATGGTCGTACATTTCCTGAAGAAAGGTTCGGAGAACTTCTACCACGGTTTGGGACACAACAAGCTGCTGATCTCCACCATCGACTGCGTGTGGTCAGTCCAACCAAACCGCGTCAATACAGGAAACCGTTACAGTTCTGGAGGTTTACCCACACTGGCCATGAAGGGGTTAACTAAGAACATGTTTCCCAAGAAAAAAAATAAGGAAATTCTTCTGTTTATTTAAAAACTAGTCTGAAAAACAGACGTTGAGCTGCAGAGGTTACTGTAGTTTTGGAGGATGTTCTCCAAGTAACATTTAAAATTGTTTCATTATGAGTGAAATAACCTGCAAGAGGAACTAGAGGAACTAGAACTTTTTCATCAATAAAAAGTTCTGAACTTTTTTGTCAATATTCAGGAATTGTTGACTCAGAACAATCTCTTACATCTTGCTCAAAACTTACGTGTTTGTTAGTTTTATCTTATTTCAAGTGTACTAAGATATTTGTGATAAAAACTGGACCAAAAATACTTGGTAAGATTTTGTGTTTTTGCAGTGTGTCACTCCCACAGCATGGCACTGCCACCACCAGGTTTGTTATGTAATTAGGTTAATTAAATTCAACATTCTTGTTCTGAAAAGCAGCTGAATGTGTTTAGGTGTATTGCTGCCAGTGAAAGGCTCATTCTGGAGCCTGTTGTCAGAAAAGCTGAGCCGGGTGAACCGATGGCAGAGTTTCCGTTCGTCCCTCCAGGTCCTGCATCGTCGGCTGCTGCATCACAGAAAACCAGTTTCTATGGAAGGACGGCGCCGGCCTGCTGCTGGATTTGCTCCGCTCCAGCCCCAGGTGTATGCACGGCATCATCCTCTCCATCCTGCTGGACCTGTTCAACAACCCCGACACCCGGCCGCTGATCCTGGACTGGAGGGACGCCGACGGCCGCTCGGCCCCCAGCGTCCTGCTGCAGCTCTGGAGGGACCAGGAGGAGGAGCTGGGCGTCCTGCGGGACGAAAACGGAGGAATTGCAGGTCAGACTGAGACTGATCCACTGGGAGGACCAGATTCATCTCAAAGATTATCTGTCAGGTTGGATGTTTTGTTTTTGCCCTAAAGATCCGGAGAAGCCACTTCTGACCCGTTTCCAGGACAAGATCAGCAACCTGTCGTTTTCGGCCAATGCGCCGTCTGCAGCCGTGCTGGAAACAATGGAGAACCTGCGAGGGAAGATTTACCTGCTGCTGTCCAGGCTGGGTGAGCGAGAAACAGGAGCAAAACAGAGAAAGTAGGGCTGTCCAGAAAAAAAATCTGTCTATAGCCACAAAAGCAACAAGAACCAATGAGCTTTCTTCATTTTCCCACAAGATCTACTGGAAAAAAACTGTTTTCTGCTGATTTTTGTATTAAGAAGCAAATATTTAAGTTTTGTTTGTAGCTTTTGAACTGCAGAACAATTTTATTTTCTACAGTGGAGCGTTAATTTTTGTTTGTTCCTACTTTTTGTTAATGTTTGCATTAGTATTTGGTTTAATGAGCAGGATGGACTCCATGTTTGGGCTCCAGGTTTCCAGGATCTTCCTGGTCTGTCGGTGGAAGATCATGTGACTCTGGGCATCGTCATGAGATACCTGGACTTCAAGGTGACAACAGTTTTCAAATTAAAGGGTTTCATACTGTATCTATGTCTACTTTCTACTGCAGATATCTGACTACTTGAAATAACACAAGACTAACCTGCAAGTAACTTTTCAGCAAATAGGAGCTTGTTTTGAGTAAAAAAAAATCCTTAAAATTGATAAAAACTGGCAGGTTATTTCACTTTTGACAAGATATGTTTCCCTTTTCATAAGTGAAATAATCTGCCAGTTTATGAAGTCATCTTTGAGCTTTTTTGAGCCACCTTAAAAAGCCTGTCCTAAACTCACATATGGATGAATTTACAGAAAATGTAATAAATAAAAGGTTTTTTTCTGCTTAAAGTCAAGGATCATGAAACTGTTTCTGTGAAACCCGAAATCAGGAAAATGTTCAGAACGTCTCCAGTTGAGTCGTTTCCTCTGTGAGAAAGTTTTGAGCTTCTCTGCAGGTCTGCGAGGTTTGGAACGAGATCAGGAGCGAACTGAGTCTGGACGACGTGAAGCCGGTCACCTCTGACGAAAAGGCGCTGCACTCCATTTCCATGACGTTGATGGGAAAAGCGCAGAGCGTCAAGGAGGAGCAGATCCGCATCCTGGAGGAGCAGAAGCAGCAGGAGATCAAGGAGGAAATCCGCATCTACGCAGAGGTGCTGAGAGTTCATGTCAAATCCGCCAGAAACGGCCTTCACCACGCTTCCTGTGCTTTGTTTTATTTTCAGACATTTTCACCGTCCCATACACAAATCAAAAAATACTGAAAAAATCACAAGACAAAACAATACAGAAATGATAAACAATATTTAAATTCCTGTCAAAGCGTCGTCTGAAGAAAGTTCAGCTCATTAAACCTTCACTGTGTTATAAAGCATCGTCAAAATGGAGGCAGCTGAAGCTTTCTGTGTTTTTCTAAAGCTTATGAAGGAATTTCAGCTGAGTCTGTAGACAAACTCACAAAAGGAAACAATCAAACTTTTTATGTTTAGCAAAAGATTTTCTTCACGTTTTTAATTAAAGAGTTACAAACGGTTTTAACTGCATAACAATTATTCTGCACCTGAATCCTCCCAACTGAGGTACAATGGTTTTTAACACCATTCTGACTTTTTGTTTAAATATGTCTGAACTGCACCTTTAAAGGAGTTTATTATTGATTTTCTGCGTAGTCGATGCTGTTCTGAGCTCCATTAAGTCATAAAAGTTTAAAGTGTGCAAAGTGAGAAATATTTCATTAGTTGGATGAAAATAATCAGTTATAATCTGGAAAGCTTTCTTCTGGAGCGTGTAGAGAGGTTTAGGTGAATATTCCTGTTCTGTCTTCATTTTCATGAACTCAGATGAGTTTTTGTTTTTTTTATTTCAGATGAAATCCCACCGGACACAGGAGGACCTCGCTGCCAAATCCTGGGAGAATTACGTCGCCAGAACTTCAAACTACAACATCCTGAAGGTTTTTTCCAATTAACAGCTGAAATTACTGCCAGGCTCAGCGATAGTTAACCGTTTCCTTCGTCTCGTGGTTTAACTGCAGGAGGAAAAAGCTCGGAGGAAGAAACACCTGAAATCCAAACTGAAGCCTAAAGAAGCTCCTGGTGATCGACCTCCAAAGGTCTCACACCAACACTCTGCTTTCCTCTGGTTTCTGTCAAACTAAACACTCAACCAGATGGCATAGGACAAATCTACACTCCATGACCTAAAAAGGTACTTTCCTGGAACTTTCCTTGAACCTTCTGGCTGTTTTCCTGGAAAAGTTCTGCAGAGTTCTGGGTAAGTTCCAGGAAATTAAGTTTTTCAGTCTGGGAATGTTGCTGGAATTTCAAGGAAGGCAACTTTTAGTGTCGGGGAAATTTCATGGTAAGTTTCAGGGAAGCAGCATGTCATACGTCACCTGCCAATACAACCAGATCCCCAAAATGCCCCAATATTAAAAGTGACTCATCTCCAGGTTCCTGAAGTAGTACCACAAAGTTTTATGAAAGTTTGTGGGATGTCACTGGAAAGTATCGCCGTATTCCTGGAATGCTGCAGAAAGTAACCTCTTAGGTTGACTTTAGCTAAAGCAATAGAGCCGTGTTAAGACGGGATCTCCATGGAAACCAGAAGGATTTGTGTGTTGACTAATGAACGTTTCATCCCCAAGACTTCACGGTCTTCTGTCGAATCAAACGGACATTTCTGCAGAACCTAAAAACCTTTTATTTGGTCACTTTTACATGTGGATCTGTGTGAATTAGGTCTGATTTCTTACCATCGGTAATGCTGCTTGTGTTTCAGAATTTCATCACCCACATCATGGCAATGAAGACCACCGGGGAGCCGGGGCCTTCAGGGGTCGAAGTGTCGCTCGCCAGAACCGTAATCTGAGCCAAACGGACTGAAGAAGAGCCCAGAACTGACGGTACCAAGACTCCTGGATCAACGTCAGACTTTTATTCTCCAGCAGCTCTGAATGCTCCTGCAGTTCTCTGAGGATCAAAACTGAGAGAACAACATTTTCTGCAATAAACCTCTTGCATTTTCTGTGTGTGGCTTCTTCTGTAAGACAATGAGCAGAAAATACAGACGTGATGTCACTCAGTCTGCACAGTCTCTTCCTTATAGTCTGGTCGAACACATGCAGGCTTCACCAAGATACTTCTGTGATAAACACGAGTTTCAAGCCTAATTTATGCTAACGAAGGTTGAATCAATCTTTTCTTTCAATGATGTCTGTCTGGAAGTTTGCAAAAACATTTATAATCAAATCAGGTGGAGGATGAAAAGTCATCTGGATTACAGTTTTACAGTTAATTAAATCAATTAATGAAGAATTTGAATTGTGCATTTAAAAATACTGATTTAAAAACCCTTTTCCTGAACATTTTGTAGCTCTACTAGTCTTGATCTTGTTGGGAACTGAAGCTCTTTTTGTGTGTTTTTCTGGTGCTTTTATGTTTGCATGTTTTTAATACTTTCTGCTTGTGAATCCAGGGCAGAAATGTGCAGCAAACGGAGCAAACTGCTGATTGAATTTACCTCCAGAGTTTCTGTCATTGTTGAGATGTTATGCTGATTCCTGAAGGTTTATTCAGCTCTAACCATCTCCTTATTGGTCAGCAGTGGTAACTACACACAGCTGCAGGAAAAGACTCAACCAAGTGTGTTTTCATCTTGTTCTGATTATAATAATCTTTTTTACATTAAAGTATTGTCTTCAGATCTGTTGTCAACAACAACCTACAGTAAGAACTGTGTTATGAATTTTTAACATCTTTATGTAATGACAGCAGAGGCCTTATGGAACCCCAGAATAATCCAAAACAAAAATAAAATCTGAACTTGTCCAGCAGCAGCTTCTCATTAAAGGAAAGCTTAAAGGAGTTTTTGCTCTAAATTGGGACTTTTCCAGGGTTTCATGCTCAGTGTTTTCAGGTTACATAAGTCACTGCAATGCATCAACACAAATGTTCCTTCAAGCGTGCAGCAAGCTGCACAGAGCCACTTTTCTCTCGCTGCTCCCATCATTACCGTCTGGACGGCCGAATCATCCGTGACGTTTTACGAAGCTTCAGACAAAAGATCCGGGACATGCAGGAGCCTGGTCAGCTCAGCCGGCCGTGAAGCGGATCGCTGCTGGACCGACTCACTCCTGGAAACTGTGAGAAACATTTTGTTTTACCTAAAGAAGGACTGACTGCTGATGCTGTAGAATGACTCTGAGGGACAAACAGCAACTATAAACATGTTTTAGTTACTTGATGGTTATGATTAGGCCTGTCATGATAACACATTTTTCTGAAAGATAAATTATCCCACAAGTTGTTGCGATAAATGATAATATTGTTTTGTTACCATTTTCCAGTAATATAATAGCATAATAATGCAAGAACACAATCTCAAAGTTCAACAAACTTTAATTTGTAATGAACATTTAATACTGAAACTGGAAAACATTTTCAATAAATAAATAAACAAAACAACAGAAACAAAAAAAATAAAAAGAGTTATAAAGTCTCTGCAAACAAAACTGTCCTTAAAAAGGTTCAGTTGAGACTAAAACACCAGACAGAAGAATTATAACCAGTTATTGGTCGAAAAATAAAAATAGAAATTATGCATCTTGTTTTAATTTATCACGGAATTTATTGATTTATTGCAACAGGCCTAGTTATGATGCTGATTATTATTGTTAATAAATGTTTCCTTTGTCCAAGGATGGGATTGTCCATGGGGTTTGGTTTATTTTAATCTTTATTAAACTATTAACATAATGTTTGTTTTGTCCATTAAATATTTAAGGGCTGAAGAAAAATCACAACAATTAATTCAATAATGTTTATTTTTCTGGTTTTAAAGTACAGAGTAATTTTAGAAATCATCCAAAACCAAAATCTGGTGCTGAGTTGTTGTGATTCTCTCAGAGCTCCTTAAAAAGCAAAGTTTCTCCTGATGTTCCCTGAAACTTTCAGGTTGCTGTGAGACTGATTGACGCTCAGTTCTCGTTTTTTAATCTCGTCAGCGGCTCCAGCGGCAGGAGTGATGTTCAGATTGGGAAGGCTGACTCCAGGATACTTCCGACTCCTCCAGGTGAGAGTTCGGTACAGACGAGGCGATTTAAGCATGATGTCACTGTTCCTTTAAATAGTCTCTGAATACAGTCTAAAGTCTTTAATTCACTCAGCTAAAAGCTCAACAAACCAACTGAAAAACAAACCGACTCACCAACCAATTAACCAATCAAATCAGCCAAATGACCGAGCGTCCTCCTCAAACCAAACCAGCTCTAAGCCAAGCTAACCAACTGATCAGCCATCTGATTGGCCAGCCACTTAACCAACCCTATTAACCAACTAAATAACCAACCAAACATATGACCAACTTGATTAAGCAAACTACTGACATAAACCTGACTACTGTACCAACTAACAACAATCAACTCAAGTTATCCCCAAGCAAAGCTGGCAACCTAAACGAACATCCAACCAAACCAAATCAATCCTAAGCCAAGTTAATCAACTTAGCAACCAAGTGATGGATCAACCATCTGACTAGCAAACTAAATTAATCAAACTACTGACCAAAACCCTGATGACTCAATCAACCCTCTAGCCAACAATCAACATAAAAACTAGTTATGTGGACAAGCAGCCCTGGTGTTCTGGATAACGGTGGAAATGTGCATCACCTTTACTGGTAGCTTTCAGAGAAAGCAGAACTGAATCTGCTGATATGAGGCCTGACCCTCACTGAGCTTCAGTCCTGAAGGAATGAATCTTTAATGGACACGTTGGACTGAAGATGGCGAGATGGAAAGTTTGTGCATTAATATTTCATGTAGAGCTGTGGGGCTCATCTCAGGTCAGCTGGGTGATAAATCTGATAAAAACACAAACACGTGTTTCTGTTCATGTTGCGTTCTGGTGTGAAAACATTCACAAATTAACATTTCTTCTTTGCTTTGATGAAAACGACCCATGGAAAATATTTTCCTCCTGCCTGTCCGTCCCTGCTGCAGAGGCAGATGTCTGGCGAGGTTCGGGTCCAGCCATACAGCAGCATCATGGAGCCTGTCGCCATGACGATGGCCACCCTGGGGATGGGAGTGTCTCTGTACAGCGCCAGGCAGATGGCGGGGAGTCGTGAGAAACGTCACTGAGGAGCTCTTTGGAAATGTGACTGAATGTCTTGGGATGTCGGAGACGGTTCGTGTTTGATTCTGAGGAGTTTCAGGTGTTTGGAAAAGGAGAATTAAAGTTTGTCCAAAGGAAAATGTGAAGTTTTGTCTGCAGGTGAGATGAGGTGGCGAGTTAAAGACGCGAACAGGGGTTTTCCTTTAATTCAGTATTAATTTCATTAGAAAATTAGAAGATTTTACATGAAGTAATTGTTATTTTTGTAGTTCGACAAAAGGATTAATTAATTTATATTTAACACAAATGTTTGTCACTTTTTCTTCCTCTTTAGTCATTTGTTGATCATGACAAAAACGCTGCAGAAATAACTTTATGCACAATGTTGTCTCACTTTATCAGCCACATATTGTTAAACACTTGACACCTATATTAAATAGATTCCTGAACTGTTTGCTTTGTCTTTCATTTTTAATATAATTCCTCCAGACTCAGCAACTTCTGCCTCCCAAAGAGCATTTTTATCCTTAGTTCTGCTTAAAAAATTATGAAGAGCCCCAAAAATAACAAAAATGTTTTATGGTTAAAGAATCATATCGATTTATATATTTTTCTTTTTTGAATAAAGGCGTTTTTTGACTTCATGCTAATGGAAAATTGAGGTTTGCAATGTAATGACAAAAATAGCCAGAAAAACATTTTCCTTACTATTATCTATTTTTCTTAATTATTAATATATTTTTCTGCTTTTTTAATTTAGTTTTGAATATTTTAGTTTTGAATATTTGTCCATCGGATTTTAACCCTTTTCTATCAAAACATTTTATTAATCAGAAGAATCCTCATTGAAACAAAAAACCACCTAAACAGGCTTCATGTTGAGAGACATGAGCACTCCTCTCCAGCAGGTGTCGCTTCAGCTCCGTGTTGCGGACAAAAGAAGAGCAGGCTGGAGTTTCTTTGGGGAAACTGCGCCCCCGTGCGGTGAGACTGCGCAGGTGCGGCGTGAGCGCGTGACCGAGGCGCGTGCCTGATGATGAGCAGCTGACCTTTTTCCTGCGGTCGCCTCCCTGTCCTCCTCTGCAGGTGTGCGCAGTTTTAACATGACCGCCGAGTTTCTGCGCAACATCTGCGTCTCCACGTGGCGCGCGCCTCCTTTCAGCCGCTGATCGGAACCGGATCCATCCGAACATGGCCGTGCTCGGTCCAGGTCCCGCTTCGTTTCGGTTCGGCTCGGTCCTCCTGATTCTCCTGATCCTTAGCGGTTCTTCCTGGACCAGAGATGTCCCCACAGGACGCAACGACACCAGGCCAGAACTGAACCGGGAGCGTGACGGCCAAAACCGGGATCATGGAAACAACGCCACGAAACACAAGGCTTTCCCCGTCCTCGAGTTGAACTACGATTATGTCCGGATGCCGTTTGAGATTTCCCTGTGGATCCTGCTGGCGCTGCTCATGAAGCTGGGTGAGTCACGGATCCGTTCAATTAAACAAAGTTCACTTTATCAGGAAGAAACTTCTGCTTACACTGCAAAAATAGGTAGAGGTCAAAGGTTATTTCTATAAACAAGACAGTCCAAAGTGCTTTGCACCATAAAAATAAAGCACAGTGAAACTGGTAGCAAAGGTAACAGTTTTATCAAACATATTGATCAATATTCCGGTTATTGATCATCAAAATCAGGTGTGTTATCCTTGATCTGAAGGAATCTGTTTCCCTAGTTTCTGTTTTCTGGAAGTTTGTTCCAGATTTGTGGTGCATAGAAGCTGAATGCTGCTTCTCCATGTTTGGTTCTGGTTCTGGGGATGCAGAGCAGAACCAGAAGTCCAGCAAGGCTGAGCTCAACAAAGTGAGGTGCTGCAGGTTTGGAGGTGCTGGTTTTCAAGAAAGCGTTATATTGTCTGTTATATATCCCATAAATTATTTATGAAATCTCTGTAATTATTTGATGGAAAGTGGCAGCTCCAGTTTAATTATGCATTTTCCCAAAACCAGAACCTTCCAGAACCAGAATATTGTGGTGAAGCATGGTGTTGGTGGTGTGATGGTCTGGGCTCCTTTGCTTCCTCCATACCTGGTCGACTTGAAATAAGGCCACGTCTGATTAATAAGCAACTGTCATCAGGCTTTTCCACACAGGGTCAGATTGGTTTATATAATGAATAAAACCAACCAATTTATTGGATGGAATAATCGATTACTAAAATAACCTTCAGTTGCAGCCCTAAATGTTAGACAGTGAAAGTAAAAGGTAATGCATCTTTTTATTAAGGGGCAGTATTCTGTTTCTCAGGCATATAGTGGCATTTCAGAGCATAATCTAGTAGCTATTACCTCCAGTTATAAAAATATAAAATATAATTTTGACTTTGTAATTTAACGTCTTGAAATTGGGCCTCTGTCTCTTTAAAAAAAAACTCCTGCTCTTTCTGTAACTCCGCCTCCAAGAAGTCATCACAACATGGCTCCTTTATTAACCCTTTAGCAGCGTTTTTACCAGCAGCTCCCATAATGAGCTCAGCAGTTCCACCAGCTGTTTGCTAATTACTGCTGGCTAGTCGGAAGGAGCTGAGGGGGAGCTGCTGAATCTTCAGCTGCGTCTCAAAGGCGGGGCTAGGTCCACCTAGGCAAAGAAAATACATCAGTTTTATAGATTTGTCTGCTGAAAGTTATTGATGTTTTATTAAATATAAACCTAGCTTAACCCACCTTTGCTAGCATTGTTACTGATGTTTATCTCTAAAATATTTAAAATAAACAAATTTAAGCCTGGTGGCCTGCCAGGCTTATAATACCTTAGTGGGAGACACTGGTAAAAATCTGGT